CCCTACCTGCTGTGCTATTGTTTGGGCATCAGTAAATTATAGTATTTTAAAACAAAATTTTTGATGCATTGAAGCTATCAGTATACGTGACTTATAGTACAATTTGATTTTGCTTGTTCACCTACATTATATAGGGTGTGTACTATGTCTTTCAGTATTTACTTTCAGTGAAATACCTAGTGGTGCTAATTTATGAACTTGTTTGCTTGTTTTTCCTTTTTTAAAAAATACCATCACTGGGAAAGAAATTATACAGGGTGAAGACATGCGCCTTGCATAAGGCCAACCCCAGTTTATTTTGGGGCACCACATGGTCCCCTGGGAAATACCAGGTGCAACTCTAGGTGAGCCCCACGCACCAGGCAGGTGATTAAGAATAAATCAGGGAGTAATTACATAATGAATTTACTAGATGTTAGATAAAACTGCACTGAACAATAAGGTAAGGTAAAGGTAAAGGCCCTCCCGTTGATCGTCGATTTGCTCGAGCGGGCCCAGTAACGTCTCCATTGGAGACTTTGTTGTTACTGTGTCTGGCATATCGAATACTCTCGGTAGCTTGCCGGGCTCTCCGAGAGGGGCGGAGGAATCGAACTCGGGTCGGCCATGTTGGCCGCTTGTAAGGTGAACGCCCTACCCGCTGAACAATATCTACTATATATTAAAATAGGAGTGGGATAATTTTCATATTATTTTAGAGTTAATTATATTTCAAAATTGTTAATTTCCATTCCTACTATAAATACACTATAAGATTATATGGTTGGAGATGAGAGGAGCATTTTTATTAGATAAAAATCTATCTTATCTTTATACTTTGATATAAATTGAGAGTGAGAAACCCAATACCAAATTGAGCAGCCTGCAGAGAATGGACACTTGCCCTCCCTGACATAGGAACCCAGGTGCCTGGCCGTCAACTACTGTGTCATTCATTTTAACAGTAGAATAAATTTTCTACTCTTTTTAATAATTGAAATGGGAGCACACATGGGAGCACACTATTCTCTTTATGACTACAGAATTTTAGGTCTGAAGAATGTCTGGGGTTTTCCTTCTTTATTAAGTTTCCTTCTACTATACATCATGTCTTTCTAGTTCTATTAACAGTTTCTAAATCCATTCAGAGTGGGAGAGTTACAGACAAGAAGGAAGTTCTAGCTGTACTCTTTTCTCAAGCTTCTTCAAGTACTTAACAAATATGGGTTATTTAATTTTATTCAGTTTAGGAGCAGGTTAATAAATATTGACATGTCTTGAGTTCATTCATCAAAATCTCTATTTTCATTGCATTGATATTTTAAAATATAAAAGATAAATAAATAAATTGCAATTGCATACTGGTCTCCTCTTCCCTGTTGACTTTCAAAGTCTTTACTTTCAAATAACTTTCAAAGTTATTTTCAAAGTCTAGTTTGACATGACTGGAACACTGGGAGTCATAACACAGAGGAAAGGGCACTTGCCCAACATGTGACTTGCCTTGCACATGCCTTGCACTTGCCTTGAGTGAAAGGCAAGGCCTAGAGCAGGTCTGAAAGGAATGTGGACATCAGGTGGATAGAACTGCTGGGAGGCAGCAAGGGAGGAAAAGGAAAGTGACTCAGATGACTAACATGACCCAGAAAAGTCAATAAGACACAGACAAGGAGAGCCCTACAGCAGACCCAGGACCTTGCCTGTAGACTGGTTAGACCCCTAAGACCACACCATTTATCTCTACTTGCTACATATACATACATCATCATCACCATTATCACCATAATCATCATCATCATCGAAAGACAGAGTGCATATGCCATTTCAGGAAGGCAAGAAAATGTTTAAGCTTTGAGCTATTGGTAGTACAGCAGTTAGGGCATTTGCCTTGTTCGCAGCTGACCCAGCTTCAATCCCGGCATTCCATATAGTCCCCTGAGAACCATGAGGAGTTAACTCTTGAGTACAGAATCAGGAGTAACCCTTGAGCATTACTGACTGTGGTTCAAACACCAAAAAAGAAAATGGAATGTTTATAGGAATAGTAATGTAATTGTGGACAAGTGAAAAGAAAAGCAACTGAAAAAGCATTGAAAGCAAGAGATACTGCCTGTTAAGATAAGCCACTGATGCTCTTCTCAACATAAAGTGTTCAGTGAAAAAAAAATGACAAAGATAAAATCCATTATTACTTTAAAAGAGAAATGTACACATTACATACTCATCAAAAAAGTAAACTGTGAAGCCCTGGTGATTTGTTATCTGTCTGACACACACAGAGAGATAGACAGACAGACAGAAAGACAGAGACAGAGAGAGAAAGAGAACATTGTCTCTAACAGCTCATGTTTACTGAATGACAGCTAGCACCACAGCTCCAAAGCAAAGCAAATGGGAAATTCTGGGTTTCAGACACTCAGCTTTAATCTTCCTTATGCCACCTAAACCAAGGAACTAGCTAATACATTCTGCCAAAGTAATATCAAGTTAATGGCAAATCCCCATCAAAGAGCTTTTTGAGGTTTGAAGTCAGTACCCCTGAAGTTGTTTGCAGAATATGGAAGGAGATGCTAATTTCAGGGGATCAAAGGGAATCTCTAAATATCAGGTGTCCTAGCTATGGAAGTCTGAGCTCATTTAAGAGATCCAAGAAACAAAAGGGTGGAAAAAACTGACTAATGCAAAGCAGGAAAAAAATATGGATGCAAACACAACACCTTCCCCAGTTTAATAGCCCATGGAAATAGAAACACCAAAATATAGACAAAGTTTGGTAAACAGTGAAACTTTGGGGATTGGGAAGGTTTAGAATTACTCTCATATCTATAAGGAAGTTGCTTGTGCTAACCTCACCTTCAGAAATCACATTATCTATGGATAACCAAAGTGATAATGTTAGCATTTTCAATAACTCACTATACCCACAAAGCCTGTCCCTGCAATAATAAAACCTTAATTTCTTCTGATGAGTATACTCCCTCCTTTCTACAACACTACCCAAATATTTTACTTTGAAAGTATAATTCTGGTAAAATTCCTTTACTCCCTCCCTCCCTCCCTCCCTCCCTCCCTCCCTCCCTCCCAGCCTCCCTCCCTCCCTCCCTCCCTCCCTCCCTCCATCTCTCCCTTCGTCCCTTGTCCCTTTCTTCCTTCCTTCCTTCTTTCCTTTATTCTAATACCTAGGTATCCTCTAGACAGCCAGAAAACATCTTCATTTTCCCAAGGTCCAGTTTTCTTTGATCTCTAAAGCAGTGCAATTATCACTATACTAAACTCATTTGGTTGGTGTGGTATTCAAGTGAAAATGTCTGTAGGAGTGTGGTTGTTAGTATGTGATACATTGTGAATTCTACATGTGGTAGATATTATAATTACATACTTATGCCAAACTAATGCTTGACTCAGATACAGAATAAGGTATGAGGAAGTGTGAATGATCAACCTGACCTGAACCTAAAATGAAAAGTTGTTCCCTGAGGCTGGAGCAATAATACAGCAGATAAGGCATTTGCCTTGCATGCAGCAAATCCAGGTTCAATCTCTGGCACCACATATGGTCTAGAAAGCTCAACAAGACTGATCCCTGACACATAGCCAGGAGTAAGTCTTGAGTATTGCCTGTTATTATCCAAACCTGAAGGGAAAAAAACCCAATCTTATTATGATGCAAGTTAGTCTACATTTTTTCAGTTTTCTAAAGATATTTCTTTAAAAATAGTGTGATTTCTACTAACTTAAGAAATAACAGTATATTTTGTATCTTGAAAATAGCAACTTGAGGATAGATTTTGTCAAATACTCCAATGTTCGTGACTTTTCTAGTTTTTTTTTATTATCAGTGGAAATCAGCAGGTAGAATATACAGAGGATGTTCTAAAGTTTAGAGTAAATTAAGTTACATGGCTGTACAGAAAGCATGTAATGAGGGGGTGCAAATAGAATGTAGACACTGTGGGGTCCACATATCACATGGGCATCTGGGCCTGCGACACCCACTCCCACAAGTGTCCTTACAGTGTCAGAAAATAGCAACCAGCTTTTAAGTTAACTTCTATTGTCAATTTGAACTTTGTTAATTTTGTGAACATGCACTCTGGGAAACTTTAGACATCTATGTCTCTAAACTTCTGATTAGGTATCTGAACTCAACTCTAAAAGAACAGCAGTATTATCAAAGATATCCATTCAGTCCAGTTCTACACACACAGATATTTAAAAGACTGAAAAGATCAATTATGGAGCAGTGGGTAAAGAAAAAAAACATGATGTACTGTTTTTAGTATCTACATTATAAAGCATAATTCCCAAAAGAGAGGAAGAGAGGAAGAAAGAAGAAGAAGAAAGAAGAAGAGGAAGGAAGAGGAGGGGGGAGGATAAGGGGGAGGAGGAGAATGAGGGGGGTAAAGAGGAAGAAAGGAAGAAGAAGAAAGAGGAGGAAGAAGAAAATGCTTGCCATAGAGGCAGGCTGGGTGCAGGGGTGGCGGTGACAGGAGGGAAACTGGAGACATTGGTGGTGGAAAATGCACACTGGTGGAGGGATGGGTGCTGGAACATTTTGTGACTGAAACCCGATCATGAACAGCTTTGTGAATGAATATTTCATGTGATCCAAGTTAAAATAAATAAACAAGTATGATAATCAAAGGACATAGATCAACAAGGGTTTTCAGTTTGGTTTTTGTAATGTCCTGCTGGGCTGGAGCGATAGCACAGCAGGTAAGGGCGTTTGTCTTGCAGGCAGCCAACATGGCCGACCCGAGTTCAATTCCTCGGCCCCTCTCAGAGAGCCCGGCAAGCTACCGAGGGTATCTAGTCCACTTGGCAAAGCCTGGCAAGCTACCCGTGACATATTCGATATGCCAAACACAGTAACAACAAGTTTCACGAAGGAGACGTTACTGTGCCTGCTCGAGCAAATCGATGAACAACGGAAGGACCGTGACCGTGATCTCAGTGAACAATATCCTGCTAACATGGAGTTAGCATGGTAACATAGCCATTTGGGTATAGCCATCACTCACTGTATGCACATCCGTATACTTCAATCCGCATCCCGATCCTGCCCTTAGGGTTCCAGGCCACGGGAAGGAAGTGCAGAAATCTGGCTTGAAAGGGAGAATGGAGTCTGTATTGCACCACGCTGTCTGCATTTGAGTTTCCTGGAAAGCCCTTGGAGAAAAAAAATGATCAATATAGATAGATCATCTTTACATTGTTACCCCACTTGACAGTAAACAGCAGGTGCTCCACTTTATCAAAATGCAGAACTGTCCTGTTTTAAAGGAATTTTGCTAACGTTTAACCTGGAAAATGACAATTTCTCCTCAGGAAAGTGACAACCTCTTCTCAGAGGGTGGATCAATAATCTTCATCAAGATTTTTCTATTTGAAGACTATTTTAAATTTCAGTGCTACATTAAATGAGCTACAAAACGTCTACCTTCAAAAGCTGCTATTAGAAAGGCGCTCATCTCCTAAACCCATTCTCTGATTCCAAAGCAAGTCAATGCAACCATATGGACGCTCTCCATCTTTTCCTCCTCTTTCTTTATATTATCTTAGGGTTTTTTTCACATTTAAAATGACTATTTTTTGCTTTTTGTTTATTTGTATAAATATTCTTACTAAAGCATCATGACTTACAAATTTACTGATAGTTGTGTTTTAGGCACACACTAATTCAATAGCAGTCCCTCCACCAGTCTCAGCCTCCCTCCACCAGTGCTCCCATATTCCTCCCCATCCCAATCCCCACTTTACCCCTACCTGTCAGCTGTCAGCGTGACAGGAATATTGCAAAGTTTCACTGGTTACTGCTTAGGTATCATGTCTTCAGTTTTTTTAAAAAAAAATATGGAACGCTTTATGATTTTGCACGTAATCTTTTTGCAGGGGCCATGCTAATCTTCTTTGTATCGTTCCAAATTTATTATATGTGCTACCGAAGCGAGCATATGTCTTCAGTTTTAATGAATCTGTGTTTTGGAAATCTGGCTATACCCCTCCCCCATATCATCGGTATAAAAAAGCCCTGATGCCTATTCACAGATAAGTCCATTTCACAGATAAGTGACATCATCCTGTGTTTGTCTTTCTTCTTCTGGCTTATGATTATCTTCCAGTTCCATGTTTTTTTTTTGTTTTTTTTTTAAGGTTACAGTCCTTTCCTTTATTGGATTGCCAAATTTAAAAAATGGAAAGTAAAGCAATCATTAAGTGGTTCAGGTAAAGAAAACATCTTGACCTGAGTGACCCATCAGGTCTACTATGACTTGCCCTAAAATTCCTCCCAGAAAAAGCTTCTGGTATTTCAGTATTTTTTTATCCTGACTCTATTAAAACCATCTAGACCGTATGGGTCAACCACCTATGAGCACAGTTCTCCGCAAACCTATTATTATGTACATTGTTCACAGTTTGATCTCTCACTAGAGCAGATTTCTCTACAGAGGCAGCGCTCTGGGACCCATTAAGGTAGGCATTTCAAGCAAGGCGTTTCTTTTTTCAGATTTGGTATTAGTCTGAACTTATCTGAGTTCCCCAGAGTACTACCACAAGAGCTGGTCACTGATAGAAATTTTGTCATTCACTTTGGAAGGTCTTTCTTTAGAACAGGTCATTTTTGTTAAGAACCCCAAAAGACGCTCCAAGCTCCTGTTTTTGCCCCATTCAGGAGAAACATACAAATTTCCCCCGAGTCTGGCTTCACTGATGACTAAGTCAGAATTCTGATGGCTTGTTTCGCTCTTGCCGAGCTTTCTCCTCATTGTGGGTTTTCTGAAGTCCAGAGGGCTGTGCATCCGGCCCGAGGCCCAGATGACCTTGAGGATACTGGAAAAGCTGCCCTCGGTATGAATTCCCTTAGAATGGAAATGGGGATGCACTCCAGAAAGCTCACACTCATTGCCTCGGAAGGGTTCTCATCTCGGAATCCCGAGCCCCTTGGAGGTGCTCAAGTATGAACTCAACTAACGCTTTACCAAAACTCGGGGCATCTGTACGGTTTCTCACTGGAGTGACTAGTAAGGGGTCCTGTCAGGCAGCTCTGCGCAAACCATCTCACTGCCTCCAACTGCAGATTCTCTGGTCCCCACTCAGGTCTGAGGTCTGAGGAAAGTCTGAGATTTACCTAAGCGTTTTCTTTCCATCTTAATGAGTCTTAAACATGTACATTAAAAAAATAATAATAAGGGGGCTGGTGCGATAGCACAGTGGGTAAGGCGTTTGCCTTGTATGCGGCTGACCCGGGTTCGATTCCCAGCATCCCACGTGGTCCCCTGAGCACCGCCAGGAGTAACCCCTGTGCATGGCCAGGTGTGACCCCAAAAGCAAACAAACAGGCAAAAAAAATAAAAAATAATAATAATAATAAAATTTCAGTCTGGTCAAGACATCTGCGAGGCGTCCGCCGCATGCGGGGGGCTCAGCTCAAGGCCTTTTTCACCCACGTGACACAGGTAGGGTTTGTCACCGGCGTGGCCCGCGGGATGTGGACCGAGCCCCGCAGCCTGGTGGCAGCCTTTGTCGCAGGCGCTGTACCTGCACCGCAGCTCCTCGGTCTGAGTCCGCATTTTCTGCTGCGCCACGAAGTCCATGCCCAGGAGGAAGCTGCGTCGCAGGCCGCCCACTGGTGCGGCTTCTCGTCCACGTGGATCCGCTGTCGGACGATGAGGTCGGGGCCGCGGCCGAAACCCGGGTCGTGCTCCAGGCACCGGAAGGCGTGCGTGTGCGTGGCCTGGTGCCGGATGAGGTTGGCACTGCGCGTGAAGCAACGCATGCACTCCAGACACTTGTAGGGCTTCTCGCCCGTGTGCACCCGCTGGTGCACGATCAGGTCCGACTTCTGGCCGAAGCACTTCTCGCACGCGCCGCACTTGTAGGGCTTCTCGCCCGTGTGGACCCGCTTGTGCACGATGAAGGCCGAGCGGTGCCGGTAGCTCTTGTCGCACTTGGTGCACTTGTAGGGCCTCTCCCCCATGTGGGTCCGCTGGTGGCTGATCAGGTCCGACTTCCCGCTGAACGCCTTCTCGCACTCCAGACACTTGAAGGGCTTCTCGCCCGTGTGCGTCCTCCGGTGCCGGATGAGGTTGGTGCTGCGACTGAAGCACTTGTCACACTCGCTGCACAGGTACGGCTTCTCGCCCCTGTGGCTCGGCTGGTGGACCAGCAGGTCCGAGCTCTGTCCGAAGTTCTTGCCGTAGACGTCACACATGTAGTATTTTTTCCCCGCGCGTCCTCTGGTGCCCCGACAGGGCCAAGTGGTGCCAGAAGCTCTTCTCGCATTTGCTGCATTTGTAGGGTTTCTCGTAGCCCTGGAGCCTCTGATGCGACAGGAGATCTGAGCCCTGGGGGAAGGTTTTCTCACACATATCACCGCGATAAGGTTTCTCCCCAGAGTGGGTTCGTTTGCATATAATAAGAGCTAAGTTTTCACAGAAGTTTTGCTCACGTTCAAGGCACTGGTATATCCCATCATCTATCCGAGTAATCTCATGTACCTGAATAAAAATCTTTTTACCCTTCTGAGGGCAAACATGATGGATTTTCTTTCTTTCTTTGAGTTCTCCGATTATACCTTTCTTTGGAAGCGCACATTTTCTAGGTCTCGCTCCTAGGGAGTTTCCCACGGGTCTTCCTGACCCATCGTTCTCGTCAAAGTCATTTTCTTGGTAAAGACTTGAAGAGACCTTCCAGTCATGAGAAATTTGTCTCCAGAGGTTTCCAGCATCATATACACTAATTCCTGCCAGCCCCAGAACTTAAGATGGATAAAAAGCAGTCTTCACTTCCTGGCCCTGAGAATTTGACTTCTCAAGGAAAAAACATTCCAGCAGCCGCCGGCGCCGCCCCGCGGCCTGGGCCGGCACTTCCGGTTACTCTCCGGACACTAGAAACTGGGCTTCCGAGCGGCCGCGGGCTCCGCGGAGGAGGATCTCCGGGGCCAGAAGGGAAAGGGAACCCGGGGCGGGACGGCGCGGCAGAGAGCCAGGCCCAGCTCCTCGGGCGCAGCGGTTCCAGGGCGCGCAGGCCGACACGCTGGCTCCCCGCGCCCTCGCAGCCCGCAGGGATGCGGCCGGCTCAGCCCCCCCGCCCCCCCCCCCCAGTTCCATGTTGTGGCAAATTGCATGACACATCAGATTAGGGTTAGATATCCAGGATATATAAAGTACTCACAAGGAACTTCTCCATCTTAGGCATTTAGCACATTGGTGGCTCTATGGTAAGAATTTTACATCAGAGAATTTGAGAGCTAGAAGAAATCTGAGTAATTTTCTAGTTCAAAATCCATAACTTAAAAATGAAAAGCCAAAATAAAAGTAAAAAGACTCCTTGAAGGTAGAAGAGATATTATTCAACAGAGTCAGGATTAGATCCTATGTCTCTGGTCATGAAACGTAATGTTTCCCTCTGATATTCAGATGGTCTCATATCACCAGTATTTAGGGGACACTTTGCAGAAACACCAACATCACCTGCCTCAAAAGACAGAGGTGTGTTTACTTAATTATAGTAATCTGACTCCATGCTAGAGAGGTCCAAAATGACACTGAGTTTTTATAGAAAATACATGGCTTCCGTCTCATAATTTTTAAAATTAGAAACAACTAAGGGGAAAGCAAATAAAAAGGATAATATATATACTTTATTTATAGATACATAAGTTTTTAATAATTTAATCAACAAAAGTTTAATTGACTTAAATTTCATCATCATTACATATGAAAGCAATAGCACAGCGGTAGGGCGTTTGCCTTGCACGCAGCCAACATGGCTGACCCAAGTTCGATTCCTCTGCCCCTCTCGGAGAGCCCGGCAAGCTACCGAGAGTATCTCACCCGCATGGCAGGGCCTGGCAAGCTACCCATGACGTATTCGATATGCCAGACACAGTAATAACAAAATCTCCAGTGGAGATGTTACTGGGCCCTCTCAAGCAAATTGATGAACAACGGGAGGACAGTGATTACATATAAAAATGAGAAGACATACAAACACAGGAAAAACACCAACACACACAGAATGAATTTTCTAGACTCTCCACCCCACTCACCCTGGAAAATATTTCTTTAGTAGTGTTTACTGAATTGTTTGGTCTGTGCTTTTGCCTGTGCTTTTATGTAAAAATTAGAGATGAATTTAAAGATATATTTGTTTTATAGGACAGTGACAGTGATTTGTTTTATAGCTACCTATTAGCAAATTAACACCCCCCAAATATCCACTCTTCTCCATTCTAGTAAACATTACCACCATATTACACCAGTAAAACAATGACTTGTTTTTAAGATGGGCAGAAAGTCACAACTGTCTATAAACAACAGCAGTCTTCTTTGTATACAAACATTTCAACCAGCTCCCTTTCCATTTTTCCTTCCACTGGAGAATCTGCTATAGTGTAAAGGTTGTTTTGCAGTAGCCAGAATATCAACCAGTTATTCCTGTTCCCAACATCTTATTTTATTTAGCTTTTTTTCATTTATTGATTCTGTGGTTTACAATACTATTAATAATGGCTTCTTGTGTGCATAATTCAAATACCACATCCATTATAACCGTACCCCCATCCTAAGAACACCAACACTCCTCCCCATCAAACCCTCCCCCCAAGTCGATTGTGAGAATCAGTTCTCCATTAAATTTGCACCTTTGTTGCTACCTTGCTGTATGTTTTTAATTCCCAAAATATTTGAGCAAGATCATTCTACTCAAAGTATTTTAGAAAATGGGCCCAAGATTCTTCCTTTAAAGCCTCATTTTTCTTTTGAAATTTGACATCACTGATTCTTCATCAACTACTTAACTGATTTTCCCAGATCATCAATGCATCTTGAAGTTGCAACATATTAGAATTAGAGCTAAAAGTTTTTAGAGTTAATTACACAAAATGTAAGAAAATTTGCCCCATTCAATGACCTGTTACATTATGCTCTGAAAAATAAACAAAAAAGAATGAATCCTTCAGTATGATGTCTCTTTTGAAATTTATGAAAAATTAGAAAGTATCTAAGTTCTATGAACTTTATGGAACGTATATTCAAAACAAATTTAGGATTATTTTGACGTACTTTAACTCCAAAATCTCTTGTCTTATCTCACAGTTTCAATATCCAGAAACATAAAGGTGTTCACAAAATAGTACTTCATTTAGTAGTAATGAAATTAGAAAATCAGAGTCAATACTTCCTCATGTTTATTTGCACTAGGAGGACAAACTCACTTATCTTTAAGCAATTGATACAAATAGCTGGTTATAAAGATATAAAAACAGCCCACAGACTGAGAAAAATTATTTATCCAATACTCATCTGATATGGGTTGTTAATATCGATATCAAAAGCACTGGTAGAAATTTACAAGAACAAAACATACAATGCTCTCAAACAATGGTAAGAAGAAATGAACAGAAACTTCCTGAAAGAAGAAATACAAATGGCCAGAAGACACATGAAAAAATGCTCTACATCTCTACTATTCGGGGAGATGCAAATCAAAGCAACAATGAGATGTCATCTCACACCACAAAAACTGGCACACATCAAAAAGAGCAAGAGCAATTATTGCTGGCATAGATGTCAGGAGAAAAGTACATTCCTTCATAGTGGGTGGGAATGCCAACTGGTCCAACCATTTTGGAAAACAATATGGGCCTTCCTCAAAAAACTAGAAACTGTTCTCCTGAGTGATCTTCGCTCAATTGTTTAAGGATGGTTAATAATGGCTCTTAGACCAAATGAAGGGTGTTTGGAGGATCCTCCCAGGAGGGGAGATGCATGTTGAAAGTAGACTATGGACTGAACATGTTTGCCACTCAAAGCCTCTTTTGCACACCACAACACCCCAAAGGAGAGAGAGAACACAGGGGATTGCCCTGCCACAGAGGCAGGGTAAGATGGGAGGGATGGGGTGGGAGGGATATTATCCATGGTGGTGGAAAATGGGCACTGGTGGAGGGATGGGTATTTGATCATTGTATAATCGAAACCCAAGCACAAAA